AGCCAATCTGGGGCCCGAGGGAAGAGAAGATTGGGAAAGCGAGAGAGATGGGAGAGAGGGAGGAAGGAGGAGGGAAGGAGAGAGAAGGGAGGGAGGGGGAGGCGTGAGAAGGAGAGGGAGGAGAGCAGAGGGAGAGAGGAGAGGGGAAGAGGGAGAAGAGAGAGAGAGGGGAGAGAGGGGAGAGAGAGAGAGAGAGAGAGAGAGAGAAGAGAGAGAGAGAGAAGAGAGAGAGAGAAGAGAGAGGGAGGAGATAGAGAGGGAGGAGAGGAGAGGTAGGGAGGTAGTTAGATAGATATAGAGAGGGGGAAGAGAAAGGGAGTGTGTATGAGAGAGAGAGAGAACAGAGAGAGAGAGAGAGAGAGGAGAGAGAGAGGAGAGAGAGAGAGAGAGAGAGAGAGAGAGAGGAGAGAGAGAGAGGAGAGAAGAGAGAAGAGAAGGTATGAAAGAGGAGAGAGAGGAGGGGAGGGAGAGAAAGAAAAAGTTTGTATTTGAGAGAAAGAGAAAGAGATAGTATGTGAAAGAGATAAATAGATAGAACACGAGAAGGAGAAATGTGGAAGAGAGACCATGAGAGACAGCGAAGGAGAGAAGAGTAAAATAAAGAGAAAGAGAGAGAAACCACTTTTTGGCGTCAAACGAACGAGTCTAGTAACAAGATGAGATCTGCTTTACTCACAATAACTGCAGGCTCGGATTCTTCATAACAAAGGAGTAAAAAACAGATAAACATCAATTTAAAGAACAATAACCCACATAAACTACCTTTCTGACCATCTTTCATGCTACCTCAAACGGCTCTTCATTCCCTGGCTTTGGAATGAGCCAATTTTGAAAGATATAGCCTCCAGGAGAGATTAGTTTCCTGTGACGCTGAGGTAAAAAAAGGATAATAATAATTTCAGGATTTCGAAAATATAATGTCGGGAATGAAGGGGAGATAAAACGGGAAATAAAAAGTAAGTGTGTTGAGATTCACCGGATGTCTCTAATCAGAAATCTAATTCAGGTTTTGATATCAGTCAATAAAGATTAATGCTAGATTGGAAATGCGAAGGAAG